GGGGGGAGTGAGCGAGCGGCTGTGTGGTGCTTAGTTGCCAGCTGGGGTTAAACCACAACAATGGGTCAGAGAAAATGTCTACTCTAAGCCAGTATAGCATATAAAATACAGGCTGGAGAGGGAATGTTCATATAACACAGAAGACTGAGAAGGGTTGAGAGTAGACCAAAAGGAAGGAAGGACATCATTAGGCATTAAGAAGAGTAAGTATAGTGAGTCAAACAAAAGAAATAAAATACATTGTTTTGGGTTCTTTTCCTAAATTCTTCAAGTTTTCATCATTTTGTCAAGAAACAGATAGGTAATTAATTTTGTCCATTAAAATGTGTGAATTTCTAGGTGATAGCATGTGTTTGTTATCCTCAACCTACCTAATTAATATAAATTATAAAACATCCTTTTTCCAGTTAGCTTATGCATTTCAGGAGACTGCAGTACATATTTTGCATACAATATTTGCGGTATATAGCTTGAGTGATTCTGTGCATCAGTTTCTCAGCCACTCATTAAGCTGTTAATTTGGAATTTAAATACATGTTCGGATTCTGAACACAGAACTTGTCTGGATTTAGGTCAAATGTGTCATGACTGAGCTTTGTTTTCTGCAGGACTGATCCCAGTTCTTATCCTACCAGCACTGCTTTGCCTCGGTTCAGATCAGGTCTATTACACATGCCTGCAAAGGTGATACATCTTTTCTGAATAGCCTACTTGTGCAGGGAACATTTTTAACTGGCAGAGAGGTTGTTCCCTTCCTCCCTCAGTATTTAGAAGTTGTCTGGGAGTTAGTCCTAATGCAATACTTGGGAGAATGGCAAAGCAGCCACAGGATCTAGTCCAAGTTACACCATGAGGACTGAAAGTCACGGAGAACTGTACTTCACTTCTACCATCTAGAAAATGGATATGGCAACTGGTGATGCCAGTTGTCTTAGAAATATTTTGAAGTTAAAATAGTGATTATTTGTAAATCGCTTTTGAGACCTTCCTATGAAAGGTACTGCTTATGTTTTACTTTAATGGTTTTGGCTAACCTACCATCTTTCAGCGAAGCAGTTTATTTTCTTTGTCCAAAACAGATGGAATCCCTGCACACTATGTATATGAGCACTGAAAAAAAATGAAAGGAAGTGAACACATTCTATGGGATTTGACATGGTCCAAGAGTGATTACAAATTTATAATCCACTTGGGGGACTTTGCTGATTTCTTAAGCAGCTTGAGTGGTTTATGAACAGCATGCAATTTCATTGTGAATGTCAGATTAATGCTAGATGAATGCTTTAAGCAAAATTTATGCTGTCTTAGGTCGATTTATTTAACCCATTGAAATGTTTTTATACTCTGTTTTATGGTTTACATTACTAACTATAGTATATACATTCCCTTTCCTGACAGACTGACAATATACCTATTAAATTAAATGCTGCAGCTATTTTAAGAGAGGGTGCCCTCTATCAGCGGAAAATGGAACAGGAGCTCAAGAGGTATAATCACGCTTCTTCCTCATTACTTTTCACATCCTCGGTTATAGAGAGAAAAGTGGACTGAAATGAAAGTCTACATGAAAGTCATTGCTTTACTGTAGATGCTATACAGTGTGACTGTGTTCTGATTTAACACTCCAGCTAGTGTCCACTTGCAAAGTCCAATAAGGATAACTTGTTATATTTGTTCCAATTCTCCAGAATAAATAATGACCCAAATACACATCTATTTCTGTGTCCATTATAAAAGATGCATATATATTAAGCCAAATCATTTCATATACCTCCATTTTCTTCAATGGTTTGTGGTCAACTACATGCCAAATTTGATACTTGAACATGTTTGTATGTATATAAAAATGCCTCTCTATTTCTATCACAGTAAGATATGGAAGACTAAGAGTGTACTGCTCCACGAGGCAAGATGAGCCAGGAGCTGAGGGTGACAGCAAGGCATGTAGGGACAATGTCCTCACTGACAGCAGCTCAGTTCCATAGTACTCTGGCAAGGCAGTGGAGTGGATCCAGCGACAGACAGCAGGGTCGGCCAACGGTCCAGTGATTGCTAGATGAGTCCGTAGTGACGAGTCAGGGCCGAGGTCATCCAGGAAGCCAAGTCAACAAGGCAGGGTCAACAAGGTACTAGGTTGGGTGCAGACATACCTACAGCATAGCTTAGGCAAGGACAAAGGTAGTTAACATCAGCTTAAACGTGGCTCCCAGGAAGAAACTACACCCACAACAGGACTTTTCATAGCTCTTCCTCACACAGCTCTTTTCACTGCAGTCTGATCCAATGTTACACGGTTGCACTGCAACAGAGCTGTCTTTGAACGCAAGCAACTAAAGCCTAGCAGGGGTGGGGAAAAAGAGGTTGCAGGTTCTTTTGGTGCACTTAGGGCTCTAAGGAATCCTGATATAAGGAGACCTCTGACATAAGGAATGCTGATTCAGCAGCATAGGTTTTCAGCTGACATTAACTAGGGAGAGGGTGACTCCTGAATGGCCACTGCAGGCTGTATTCTATAACTAGAATTACGAACATTTTCACTCATAATTTTAACAAAGATAAAACCTGTATCATGTCATCTTGATTTAGTATTATTTCTAATCCACCTGACTTAGCAGGCTAAGGACTAGATATTGCTGGCATTTTAAGTCCTGGAATGACTGCCTAAGGTTGGATTTGGTCTTTGGACCTAGCAAATTTTGGTATATGGATCCGGATTTTAGCAGTTAGATATTATGCATCACTCAGGTTCTGTTATCAGCTATGTATGTATATTGAGGTTCTTTTATATTATGTATGATACTGTTCACTCTCTCCGGCAGAATTTTGTTCCACTCAGCAAAGAAATAGATATTCCCTGTAACTTAACACTATTTCATATTAATGAGTTTTAATCTTCAGCTGCATTTAACAGACAACAGATACATACATATATATGCATTGGGGAGCAGCGGTAAGGCGCAATTCACTGCATTTTTGTGTCTCTGCCCTAATTCTTGGCTCATTCAGTCCTCTGCTGCAGGACTTTGATGGGTCTGCCCCAGGGCTTTGCTATGCTTTTTTTCTCTCTCAGCTGAGCACAAAAAACAAGATTGTGGTTTTGCTTAATACCTGAATACTTCTTTGCCTCATTGCAGCAATATTATTTAAATGACAAAAATACAAAACAGAAATAGGGTTAAGCAGAAAAGTTCTTAGTTCTCTGTGTTAAAGTGGCCAAGAACATTGCCAAAGAGAAAAGTTATTTGTTCTTTCTACCTCTAAGCAAAGTAATCCTCTGAGAAAATGTACGTACCTTCAGCCTGATTCTCCTTGCTCCTTATGAGTATCCATATATAGCTAAAGTTTGCCCTCTCTTGGGGTTTTGTTTTACTGAAAACTTTCGGGTCCATGCCCTCATGCACTTTCTTCCAGCCTGGCTTTCCCAGGCTTTCCACATAGAAGGAACACTTCTTAGGCTGGAATTAGAATATATCTGTCAAATGCCTTTGTGATGACCGCCTTTTTTCTCTGCAGAGACCAAACACCTTATTTCACAACAAACTACTAGAAATGTTTTATGAACCAAGGCAGGGCTGCAGAGCCAGATTCCTAGAATCGTATACTCTTTCTTCTCACTTGCAGAATTGAAAATTTGCTACGAGGGGCTGGAGACCCATCTGAATTCTTGGAATGGCAAAAACAGATGCGTGGAAAAGATTTGGAAGAGCAGCTGGCTGAAATAGAGTGTAGGAGGCTTCAAGGGAAACTGAGTCACGAAGAGGCAGTTCTAGCCCATCAGAATGTAATTCAAGAAAATAAGAAGAAAGCTGATCTAATGAGAGAAGAGGTAGTACATACAGCGTTGCTCAAATTTTGCTTACATGCAATCAGTGCAAAACATAGCACAGATGATGCCTACTATAAGAAGGTGTAAAAGTTCTATACAGTGTCTTTACTCACTGAAGTCTGCAAACAATGGAAAAATAGTGCTATGACTTCCAGACACAGGATGCTTATACATTGAAGTACTTTTTACAAGTGTTTGATTTGATTGATAACACTTACGAAGTAAATTGAATAAAACAGAAGGTTAGGGCATTCTCCTCTATATTCATGTCATTGTGGATATCCTTTTTGAACAGATACTGAGATACTAAGCACCATTTGCAATGAAATCACCAATATCTGACTAATTTCATGATCTTGTTAAAATGAGAGCCACAAATATGGAATAATTTGTTTTCTTAAACTGATATAATTCAATTTACTTCATATTATATGACATGCCGAGATGTCTCTTAGGGGAAAATTCAGGCAGAGAACCCTCTTTGGATCTATATTTATGGAAAACTGAATATTTATGCCAAGAAGTATTTTCACACAGTTTCCGATCCGGCAAATCAGTTTCCCAAAAACATTGCTAGATCTTTTCATTTTTTCCCAAACTCACATTACATTTTTCCAGTGCTTTTCCTACAAACTAAACAAACAATCAAGAAATAACTAATACTATAGATTTTAAATTTTTCATAGTCACTATCACAGGCTTTTCTATTAGCCCAGTTTGCTGCCATGCCCTGTAGGCCAGCCAGTACTTTTCTCTTGGCCACCTCTCACAAATGTCTCTGCAGTGTCTCAGCAACTTAAGATGCAACCACAGATGTACAAGATTTTCATAAAGGCTACGCTGCAAAAGGGAAACTTGCTTAATGAGTTCCTTCTCTGTCCTTTAAAAAGATCTTTCAACCTTTTTTGGCATTGAGTCTTCATGTCTGCTTAGACAGGCTGTAGCAAGAACTTAAAGTGCACACTACTATGTACAACTGAGCATAGTGTACTCACATTCATTCCAAAATTATTGTAATTATTATATTCACCTCAATTTCAGAGCATAAGTGTTTTATTTGTCAACAGAAATGTCCCAATATGTATAGATTTGGGGATGTGCAAATCAGACTTGCTCTAACCTGACCAATTCCAGGCAGCTCCCTTTGCTTGCCAACAGATGCCAGCAGGGCACTTCATCCATATGGAGATCTCCAGAAGTACTGAGCACCAATTCTCCATTCACCAACAGCTGTCAGGCTAACCCCCTCCTTCTTTTAAAACTCTAGTCTTCTATCTAAAACAGAAAGTACAATAAGGAATCTAGTCTGGGAAAATCCAGTTTCCTGCTTCCTGTTCATTTCCTCTGACAAAGAAAGGAACATGATGGCCAAAAGTGGACTTTCTGCATGTTACAGAGCTATGACTTAGGCCCAAGAAGATCCTGCAGGCATACAACCAGCTCTGTATTAGATTGGCACTCTTCTTGGTATCTCACAACCAGATCCAGAGATGGCTTTTTTGTCTGCTTTCAGAAACCTGTGGGAGGGAATCCTGGAAAGTGGCAGTGCAAATGTTGTGGAGGGCTGTTGTGGGTAAATAAAACATAGAGGGGAGCTTAAATCTGGGTCTCTTATGTTGTCCCCAGCCAAAGTCCTTTGCTACTTTTGTGGATGATGTAATACTTTGAATCCATTTGTCCTTGCACTATTTCAATGATATGAGCCCCTCAGATGACCAGTTATCAGGAATTATATTCACCTGTTTGTTTGGGATTTAGAAAGCGGAGCTGATGCACCGGTATGCAGAGAAACGTCTACAGGAACAGAAAGAAATGAGAGACCTGGTGGAGCAGGTCGTGGAAGGACACAAGAATGCAAAGCAAGCAAAAATAAAGCTCCAGAAATACAAACAGCGGATAGGTATTTATATATTGCCAGAAAAATGAGAGATGATGCCAAGTGTCCCCAAATTACTTTATCTTTATTTTAGTGGGCCAATTACAATTTTTACAGAAAGGAAAGGGAAGTTGAGGGAAAGATCCAGGCTATACATTCCCATGAATGCATGAATATGAATTCCAGGAATAAGTTGGTAATGGATAGATCAGAAATTCTAAGCTACTGGTCATGGAATTACTTTTTGTTTAAAAGGGAGAAATACAGCACTAATGTTCTGCAACTAGTTTCCCTTCCATCTAAAAGTAGCATATGTGAATGACTGTACTTTTTGTCAAATCAAGTTATGAAGCTCAGATTCTTGTGATTCATATCATTAAGAGAGGATTTGCCTAGCAACCACCATGAAAGAATCATGGCTCAAGATTATTGTCTTCTCCACAGAAGACAGTCCAGAGAAGAAAACTGTAGCTAAGGAAAGAAAAGCCATCTCCTAGAAGGACAGTATCACAAGGGAGAAGGATGTAACACCTCCAAGACAGACCAGTCATTAGGATGAAGGGAAATAATGTTACTGATCCTCCATTGTTCTTAAAGAAAATTCTTCAGTTAATGCATTAGCTAATGAAGTCCAGGGAGAAGGCTGTTCTGACTGGCATGGCTGTACGTATTCCGATGCAATGCCATGTTAACATCTACTGTACGAACAGGCTACCTCTAGTTGTGCATATTTTCGTGAGCAGACTTGTCTCTGCTTGCGTATCTCCATACTTGTATCAGTAAGGGTGATAAGGGCAGAGGGTGTTAGCCACTCTGAAATGGCTAGCAAAGCCTACCAGCCTTTGCAATTCAACGATTTCTATCATATATATAGCTTGAAAAACTATGAATATTTGCTATTGTATAATATCCTTTTATTAAATAATGAAACAGAATGCACTAATTAGAACAGAAATTACAAAGCAGTAATTCAAAGCGTCTATGTATATATACAGTATGTTTATGTGTTGAATAGAATGATAGATAGTGGAGGTGGGAAGTACTCATTTGTTTCTCTAATCGTTCCTCCCACCAATGCCAGACTGTTCCCTCAAGTACCTTTAGATCAGTATTATTATTGTTATTCACAAATGCATATGAATTTTCCTCCAGATGGACTACTTGTTAAAATATGCAACCAGCTAACAGAGATTAGTTCTTTTCTTTCAGTTCAGGAAGTTTGTGAAGAAAATCGAGAACTTCTTCGGCAAGCTTTAGAAGAAGAGGAGGAAAAACTTAGGAAAAGATACGAACTAATTCAACAAATACGAGCTATTGAGTCTTTACCAAGCGTCAGACACAAGTTTGTTGATTTAACTGAGGTAAGCTCAAAAGGAAAAACCACTGGTTTTACATAAATGTATATTGTATATGTTTCACACATTCAGAGGAGTTGTGTACTGCATGCAGATATATCGCAGTCTAGATGCACAGCATTAAGTACAAAGTGACCCCGTGACACAAAGGTTAGATCTGAACTGGAAATTTTGCAGTTTATAAAATGAAAATTTTATCAGGAAGAATATTCTGATGGTAAGTGAAATCTTAGTCCCCTTGAACTTTGTTTGAATTTGCCAATAGGATCTGGGTTTCCCGATATCTTTCAAAAAGATACTGACAAGTGATTACAACATGTTCTATCCACCTTCACAAATTCACAGATTTGTCAGTCCTGGGTAAGAACTAAAGGAACACAAACTTTGGACTGAGGTACAGTTGTTCATATCGCAGTGGTGATTGCCATGGTAATTAGCAAAATTAATTTCCTGTGCTTTCAAAACTGTCAACATTCAGGTATATGAAAGAGATTGTCAAGAGAACCCAAAACCTGCTGAGCTGTTATGCATGTACTGTGCAAATGACTTGTGTGTGTGTGGTTAAGTCTACAGTAAATGTGTCCCAGACTTCTTGGACTTACTATTGATGCACAACAATTGATATGCCTAAGACTGGGCTTTGCAATGCCCACTTTTGCAGAATTTCCAGACTTAGGCAGCATCTGGAAATCTGTTATCTCACCACTAAATCAGAAGCAGAGTAGCTGAAAATACTCTTCCATTTTTCTTATACACACTGAAAGAAGAACAACATAGAATAATAAAAAATGACACTAGCAATTTTAAATATAATCCTTTTGGTTTTTTTCTTTCTTTTCTTTCATGAGCATTCAAATGAAGATCACAAATTAAAAACCATCCCTGGCTAGTCTGCAGAAACCATCCAGAAGTAACAGGTCTTCCTTCCATGGGGCTGTTGGAACAGTCAATATGCTGCTTTGGTTTTATCTCCTGCTCCTCTGAATAGAACTGAGCCATTCATTGATTCCAAAGCTACCTACTATCTTTGCAGCCACCAGATAAATCCCCCATCTCATTTATCAGATTTTAGAATACATTTAATGTTAAAGTGTGCAATAAGTGAACAAGAATAAAATCAGCTCCCCTTTACTCTCTTTGGTTGCCTTTATGGCTGTTGCCATCACTTCTCCACTTCTTTTCCAGCCAAAGAAGGCAATGTTCTTTTTTCAAACCCAGACTCACTCCACCCATTTGTGGAGAAGTATTACTGAACCACAATGGAAAAAGCAGGGAAAAAAGTGAAGAGAACAAAGAATTATTGTACACCACCGATACTATATACTGTCTGCATGGAAATTCCAAGAGGTACTCCAATCTGTACGTCTTTCACTGCTTCAGATAGAGTTGCACATGGTGTCAACCCTAAACAGAGCCCTTAGCACGGTCTCACTGCACATTTGTTACCCAGATGATTCGGTCACAAGATGTAGGCTGCAAAGACACAACAGTATAATGTAGTCGGATGTGGAAATGTCGTGACTTTTTCAATCACAGCAACTTTTGGGTCACCCTGGAAGGCTCTCATTCAGGAAAATGAAGATGACTGGAATGTCAGTATTTTCTTATTTTTGTACCTAGTTAATTTCATTGCCACTTACAGTGGCTGTTGACCCCTCACATAGAGCTTCCACTGAAATAGTTTGTTTCCAAGTACAGGATATGGCTTTAAATACATTTTCCCATCTAGCTCATCTCAAAAGACAAAGCAGAAAAACACAGCAGGTTTCAAGTCACATATGAAAAATTCATTGAAAATTCAAGCTTATCCTACGTGTAAGGTTACTAAAGTTTAAGGTTGCTGAAAATGGAGTGGCCATACAGGTCATATTGCAAGTACAAGAGAATGGACCTGAATGATACAGGTGGGCTGTTAGATGGATAAGGAACTGGCTGGCTGGCTGCATCCAAAGACTTACAGTCAATGGCTCAATGTCCAAGTGGAAACCAGTGATGAGTGGTATCCCTCAAGGGTCTGTACTGGGACCAATACTATTTAATATATTCCCTAATGACACAAGCGGGATTAAGGGCACTCTCAGCAAGTTTGCAGATGACACCAAGCTGGGTGGTGCAGTTGATACACTTGAGGAAAGGGACCTTGACAGGCTTGAGGAGTGTGCCCATGTGAACCTCCTGAGGTTCAACAAGGCCAAGTGCAAGGTCCTGCACCTGGGTCGGGGCAACCCCCAGTATCAATTCAGATCGGGGGATGAATGGATTGAGAGCAGCCCAACAGAAAAGGACCTGGGGATACCGGTAGATGAAAAATTCTATATGAGCTGGCAATGCGTGCTTGCAGCCCTGAAAGCCGATCATATTCTGGGCTGCACACTTCTTTTTAAGCAAGACCAGCAGGTTGAGGGGGGTGATACTCCCCCTCTACTCTGCTCTGGTGAGACCCCACCTAGAGTATTGCACCCAGTTCTGGGGTCCCCAGCATAAGACACAGACCTATTGGAGCGGGTCCAGAGGAGGGCCACAGAAATTATTAGAAGACTGGAATAGCTCTCCTACAAAGAAAGGCTGAGAGAGTTGGGATTGTTCAGCCTGGAGAAGGCTTCAGGAAGACCTTACTGCGGCCTTTCAGTATATAAAGGAGCTTATAAGAAAGATGGAGAAAGATGTTTTACCAAGGCCTGTAGTGGTAGGACAAGGGGCAATGGTTTAAAACTGAAAGAGGGTAGCTTTAGATTGGACATAAGGAAGAATTTTTTTACAATGAGGGTGATGAGCCACTGGAACAGATTGCTCAGAGAAGTTGTGGATGCCCCCTCCCTGCAAGTGTTCAAGGTCAGGCTGGACGGGGCTCTGAGCAACCTGATCTAGTTGAAGATGTCCCTGCCCACGGTAGGGGGGTTGGACTAGATGACCTTGAAAGGTCCCTTCCAACCCAAATCATTCTATGTTTCTATACCTCAACTTCACAGTTCCCTTATACTCACTATTACAATAGCACTCTGAGTGAATTAGCACACTTTTTTTTGGTGATAGTTTGCCCTGTTTTTCTTTCTACAAAAGGCTTTTTCAGACTTAGTGAAATTAAGTATGTGTCCATAAAATTCTCATTCATTGTCGTAATTTTTAAAGTACCCAGTTCTTCCCTTGATGGCACTTCAGTTGCTTGAACACCAGCATTATCTACTGCACAAGTATAGGACTTTTCATATTTTAGAAGCCACTTCACTGTCCTCACTGAGTATTTTTGAAATGCAGACACTCAAAATATTCAGCCTCTACCATTCTATGTTTCCTTTCACTTCCTGTGAATACAACTTGACAGTCATTTACTAGTTTAAACTAGAGGCAAGATATTATAGCACTTGCTATTTGCAAATTCACTCTAAATTGAAATCTGAGAACGATATAAATGATCATTTACTGTTTCAGTAACCTATGGTAGTACATATTTTTCAAAAAGATGCAAAAATGAAGCCTGCTTAATATTGAACTCTTCTATCAATCTTCTACTGATGCTACTGGTGACCTTTGTTTAGGTCATGTTTGGTACACGAGGAGCGTGGAAGCAGAAACCATTGAGCCAAAACTGAAGAGTCAGACTTTAGGTGAAAAAACAGTAATGATCTCTTCTTACTGACTCAACTTTTGAAGCTTTAGAAAGAGAAGCTATGGGGACCAAAACTGCACGACAGACTCTTGGAAATCTTGGAGGAGTCCCAAGGGATGGCCACCCAAGACATGTTCTCCTTCACTGACAAGCTTATATCATTAGATTCTCCAGACTAACTCAATAATAATCCCTCTTAAGCACCAATGTTAGAATCATAGAATCACAGAATAGTTTGGGTCATCTTCATCTTTGGGACATCTTCGGGACATCTTCAACTAGATCAGGTTGCTCAGGGCCCCCTCCAACCTGACCTGGAATGTTTCCAGGGATGGGGCATCCACCACCTCTCTGGGCAACCTCTGCCAGTGTTTCACCACCCTCAGCGTAAAAAATTTCTTCCTTATACCTAGTCTGAATCTACCCCCCTTTAGTTTCAAGCCATTCCCCCTTGTCCTGTCACAACAGGCCCTGCTAAAAAGTTTGCCGCCATCTTGTTTATAAGCCCCCTTGAAGTACTGATAGGCTGCAATCAGGTCTCCCCGAAGCCTTCTCTTCTCCAGGCTGAACAACCCCAACTCTCTCAGCCTTTCTTCATAGGAGAGGTGTTCCATCCCCCTGATCATTTTTGTGGCCCTCCTCTGGACACACTCCAATAGGTCCATGTCCTTATGTTGGGGGCCTCAGAACTGGATGCAATACTCTAGGTGAGGTCTCACCAGGGCAGAGCAGAGGGGCAGAATCCCCTCCCTCGACCTGCTGGCCACGCTGCTTTTGATGCAGCCCAGGATACGGTTGGCTTTCTCGGCTGCAAGCACACATTGCCGGGTCATGTCCAGCTTTTCATCCACCAGCCCCAGTGCCCCCAAGTCCTTCTCGGCAGGGCTGCTCTCAATCCCTTCATCCCCCAGCCTGCATTGATACTGGGGGTTGCCCCGACCCAGGTGCAGGACCTTGCACTTGGCCTTGTTAAACCTCATACAGGATTATAAGAATCATATTATATAGGATATCCTATCCTATAATACTGGATCTCACTGGCTTCAAGAAAATCACACCCCTGCCTCCAGATTTCTTCCCCCAGGCCACCTGTGTCGTGGGATCTCCGCATGTTGTAGCAGCAGAGAGCCAAGCCTGGTTATTTGTCGTACTCTCTTTTGTGGTTTTATTGCCCCTGCCCTCCCCCCGCCCCACCTTATGTTTTCTTCATCTCTCTTGGCTTTCCCCCTATTTCATGGACCCACTGCTCTGAACAGTCAGAGAATGGCCCCTGGAGGACGAGTACCTGACTAGACTGCTTAGATGGCATCCCAGACCAGAGAAGAGGGACTGGACCCAGGCCACTTCTTGCAGCCAAACTGACAATCTGAGCATCTATCATCTATGACAGAGCATCCTTCTCTTTTCCTGGGTTTTTTTCCTTCCCCTTCATGTTCTGTTTTGTGAAAAGCTCAAAAGCGGAAAGGCGACTACTATTCTGTCAGCAACTCGCTCAGTATTCAATACAAGGTCTTTTTTTTCCCTGCTAAAAAGGATTGCTTGAAAAAATGAAGGCTCTTTAACTGAATAATTTCTCTCCATTAAAAGGATTTTAATGAGTTTTACTTACATATGTTTATCATTACCACTTAATTTCTGCCTGAGAAATACAGTTTGGAGGAGTGGTTGTTCTTTTGGATTGCACACACCACCACCACTCCCAATCACTAGTTCTATGGAACTAAGTAGAGCAAGCTCTTTGTGGTTAAAATCCTAACCAGTGTTTCACTCTTAATGTTAACACAACTGTCTAGCAAGAGTCAGGTTAGCATCTTGACTTCCCGCACCCATTATAACATGCCACGGTACAAGATACACACCAAAGATGTGTACCAAAACTGTGTTAAGATGGACAGAAGAATATTAGTTCGTGTGAAGTGGATTAAATTTTGCAAGGAAAGCTACACAGAAGCTCAGTATTTGTGTGGGTTTATGCAAGTTTTCCATATATGCAGATGTATATATGTGTAGACATAGGGAAAGGAAGAGTATACATAGGAGCAAGGGCCGAAAACTTAAAGTGCTCACAAATCTCTTTAGAAATGTTGTGTCTTTGTATGCAAAGTAAGGTGCAGAAGTCTCTCATTACATCTCAGAATCAGGCTCATTATCACTCTCATTGCGAAGTGGATTTTAAAAGGCCTTCATTAAACATTCAGGGTTGAATATTTTAACTTTGGGCATTAAGATCTGAATTTCCTGGGTACAAAGCATTGTTTAGTCCTAGTCTTTTCAGATAAAAATAGTAGATCAAATCCATAATTTGGAAATAGATAAATACAAAAAAATGCATATTTTTTAGTGTAAAGTCTGTTCCGGTTTTACAAACTAAAAAATACGCAGTTTTACACATTTTAAAACTGCAAGAGTCTTATTAAAACTAAAAGATAAGTCAACTAGAATTTTTTTGGACAGTAAATACATTGTATTTATGATTAATCTACTGTATATTTCAATGCTTTTTCATGAAATGTTTTATGAGCCTTGTGTTTTTACACATACGAAAGGTAAGCTCTGCACCTTAAAACCAGCTTGTAAATCACAGGTTAGGGCCAACCCTATCTTTCTCGAAGTCAAAATATATTCAGCATGATTTGGAACAGAATCAAAATATTCTGGTTTTACTCATTTACTCTCCCCTTGGTATTTACAGTGTTATTTAAACGTATATTTCATGTTCTCTAGACTGGTGGCCATGGTTTAATTTGTGAAATGTCAATAGTGGAACTACGTGAACGCCTCGCTCTACTCAGAGACGCACAGAAGGCAGCAGAGGAAGAGAAGAGAGACCAGATAATTCATGAAAAACAAGCTAAGGAACAACTTCTTCTAGACAAACTGGACCAGATTTCCCTGTTCAGAGCACAACTTGGACGAGCAGCTGCTTTAAAGTCAGTATAAAACAGCATGTGACATTTAAGACATTGCAACTTTGTTAATATTTTGCTAGCCCCTTGAGGAGAAAAACAAGTACAGAGCAAAATACTGCCCTTTCATAAATCAGTATGACTTTTGTCAAGGATTATGCTAGGGCCAGAGTTTCCTTTTTATTGAAAACAATTTGCATCAGATTTAACAACTCTTTTTCAGCATTTTGAATTTATGGTTGAAGACACTCCGTAGGCTAGTGTTGACAGTATTGCCCCGGGATTCAGAGCCAATATTGTATATTGAGAAAGAAGTTCTGCCTTTCTTCTGTTCCTTTTCAGCTAATTGGAATGAATTTGATTTTATTAGAATCATTCTAGCTTGCTACTTAAAGTGGTTTCTCATTTTCATTGAAACCACTACATTAGGGCTATAGTTTTCTTCCTTGAACTTCATTTGTTACATGAAAAGGCAGGCCTTATTTTAGAAGTTAAAAATATTTTAGGGAGGAGATTTTCTGATAACAGTAATAAATTCTAAATTAAATATATTATAGCAGTAGAACAAAGAGAAAAGAGAAAACTCTTTGCTTACAGGCTCTCTGATCAAATTTTGTACTCATTATTCATATTTATTATTCATTATCATATTTATTATTCATTGTCATAAAGGATCCATAACCATCATAGATGCTTCACATATGCAGAAGACGGGTCCCTTCCACAAAGAGTTTCAAACCTAAGTTAAAGCTGAGCAGGAAGAAAGCCTGTGTAAAACTATAAAATATGGCACACCTCTTGATCTTATGCCATTTTTACTGCATCTTGACTATTTGCCATCATTTTCTTGCAAGTTGTCTTTCACCTTTGCCCTTTTGTGAGTTTGAGAGGTTAGTCCTTGTCTTGCCATATTTATTGTGCAAACAGATGTTCAGGCTGACATCCCGAAGACATATTCTATCAGGCTAAAACCACATGTCTTCAGACATTATCTTAGATTCGTGTTTATTGCTGAGATACCAATGGTGGCTTCTTAGCGTTAAATTCATGTTATTGATTTATCATCCAGTTCTAAATCTCAATTACAGAAGGCAGTATTGATGTATTCACTTCACTAGTTTTCACTAGTCCCAGCTCTAATTTGGTTTGTTGATGACAGTTTATCTCCAAAGACTGGCGTTTTACGATGTTAGTACTTAAGAAGATAGTTTAATGAATTTAATGAATCAATAACTGCAGCTGCAGTGGATTGACTGCATAGATCAGTGACCCTCTCTTCTATGGCCATATATCAAGAAAAGATTTTAAGACTAAAGAACCTGAAATGGAGTTGGAGCTGGAAATACACTCTCATCGCTAAACATTCACTGTTGTGAAAGCCTGTGGGAGCAACTCAAGCCACCGTTTTCCACTAGAGATGCAAACTAGGCATTAAGAACTTGTGTACTACATAAAACCTGTTTCACTAGTAACTACTTAAAGAATCATTTGTTATGCTAGATGTGCAGTCTGTGAATTTTGCATAGTGCTGGGTTTCCTTAAAATAGACTCTTTGGCTTAATTCAGATCTAAAACTTTTCTAATCCTGAAATAAGCTACGCTTGAATGAGAAGCTAACTTTGATTCACTTTTTGTCCTGACGTTTGAGATGTTTTTTAGAACAGGCCAGCATGCCAAAGATGGTAGAATCCAAATGAAATTAACCACTTAATTTGCAAGCTTCTAGTCAGACTCATAATAAGTAATACAGCAATTTTAATGGAGCCCTGTTTGCTCTCCAAATAAAGAAAATACAAAGTTTCATTGTAGATGTTGTAAGACATTTCCTTTCATGGCTCCCAGGAAATCTATGTACGTAACTTGGGAGCATCTACGATAAAGAGGCATCATCAAAGCATACCTCAGATGTTCTTTGGGAGGGTATTTAATGCATTTTCATCTAGAATGCAAATCTATGGTGTTATTTCTATTAATATAGAAGTATGGCATGCTGGCCTACTTACAAATGCTAGACACTTTGCTGCAGCTTTTATTTCCCTTTAAACAAACTATAGGCTTTGTGTGTTAAACCTGATTTACAGATCTTGAATCCTGAAATATCTATCAATCAAGTCAACGTGAGTGATTCATTGCTTGGGTTGTATTATTAATACGCTGCACAGGAGATGTAAAAAGCAAATTTTTATGTTTACAGAATTAATTCATAATTATAGGGATAGAATAGCAAATCTTACCAATAGTCTTCATAAGACAGCCTTATGCATCAATATGAAATTACATGTTGTATCTTAAATTGTATTACGTTAAAGGCTACTGCTAATCAGCTAAAGTATGGCAGCTAAGCTTTGCTAAACAAATGTGCTTTAGTTAGTGTCAGCTGGAGTTTAATCGGGTCCCTACCACGCAGGTTCCTTTCAATATCATTTACAAACATACATACATCAGCACAAAAGCAGCACATTGAGCAAGCATATAATGAGCTGTATTAAACAAAATAGGAAACAGAACATGAAAAATTACAGAGACATCAGCCTTTAATAGACTGCAAGCTGTGACATCCATCACAGCAGTGGCTTTGTGAGTGCTTGCAGAACACTTAAGAATCAATTCAGTATATATGCAGGATGACCTTTTAATTGCCAGAATTTCACGCAGTTTGAAAATCAGCACTGACATATGACGTGGACAAACGTTTGAGTTCTCAGCTTTCAAACATGAGCACCAAAAGATGCATGAATGTTTGAATACATGCTAATGTACTAAAGTTATATGCCTGTATACTTAGGTTACAATTCCCTTTCATTCCAGTGAGGCTACATCTATTACTCCAAGTAATTTAATGCACTAAGAATCAAGAAACAGATCAACCTATTTGGTGCTGAGGCTCCCTCCATCCACATTATCTGTGGTTTGGTGGGGGGTTACTTTGGGTTGGATTTAGTCTGGTCTTGGGACTGCATGTTCTCACCATTCATGTGGTTTAAAGCTGTCCAGAGAAAAGTTATCTCACAAAACTTCACATACTCAGTTCCTCACTCCTCTGCAAGCCCTTCTAGTGAACACCACACTATCCTTTTGTTTGTCTCACATAGATGGCAGTAGCACATCCATGTCCCCGCCAGCTGCTGCCACATATGTAAGGTACAGAGAAGCCAGCCTTATTTCTGTTCTTGCTCATGTTCCTGCCTTGTTTGTTTTCCTGCTCATTTTCAAGTGACACGGCGGTGCCTGCTGCCCGAGCCTCCTCCCCTCTCCAAGTTAGGGCAACATCCAGATGAAGGTAGCAGCTGCTGTTCCAGGGGGACACTCTGAACTGACACTAATCCTCCTTGACTTCCTCGTATATGAGGAAGAAGAATCAGAAAATTGTTACGAGGAACAAGATGCACAGGCTCCCACCAACACAGAAGATTACCACATCCCCATCTTGCATTGTGGTAATGGTGTAGCATGCTTGGGTCTCAGCACTGGATTACAAACGATGGTGTGTTTGCCAAGGTGGCAAAGCACTCCTTTCTCTTCCTGCCGCTGTCAGTGCTGAAACTCCTCCTTGACAAGCGGCACTGACCACATACCAGTGTAACACTTCTCTCTTGGCCTGAACTGGGGAGGGGTGGAAATAGTGTGAGGGCAGCCATGGCAGGAGGACAAGGGCGAAGGCTGGTTAGGAGGAGGGAGTGGAGAACAAGCATATGGGAGGGTTATGATGGGTGACTGTGACAGCCCTTTCCAAGTAGAACAAGCTCCCTAAAGCAGGTGTTCCCTGGAGTGTCCAGGTCTGACCTGGGGAGTCAAAGGCCTTCTGGCTGAGGAGGGGAGAATGGAGCCTGTAAGACACCCTGGCAGCACAACCCCGTGATGCAGCACTCAACTGAGGGAAGGGGCAGACAGCACAGGGAGGTGGAAAGATGTAACAGGGGATCATAGAATCATAGAATCATTAAGGTTGGAAAAGACCTCTAAGATCATCAAGTCCAACCGTCATGTGCCATGCTGTCCCTATGTGTGGCTATTGCTTCAGGTGTTCAAAAACATAGCCTAGAATAATGAAAAAAGGAGAATAATTAACAATGTAAGGGACTTTGGTACTTCATAACATTTGTGATTTCATTAATTTCACAAATTTCATAAATACTTAGGGTTCTGTATGTGCTGGCAATCAGGAAGTAAGATTTAGTTTCTCAGTTCCTAGTGCTGGTAATCAGTTCTTCACTAGCATTGAAACAGGAGGAAATTTATCAGCAATGATGGATCAGAAATATAAATATGTGAAAAGAGGCTGTAAAGAAGACAAAGCCAGGCTCTTCTCAGTGGTGACAAATAAGAGGACAAGAGGTACAAGAAGAAACACAGGAGGTTCCCTCTGAACATCAGGAAATACTTTTTTACTGTGGGGGTGACCGAGCACTGGCACAGGTTGCCCAGAGAGGTTGTGGAGTCTCCATCCTTGGAGATATTCAAAAGCTGTCTGGACATGGTCCTGAGTAGCTGGGTCTAGGTGGCTCTGCTTCAGCGGAGGGGGACGACAAGATGACCTCCAGAGGTCCCTTCCAACCTCAACCATTCTGTGATTCTGTGAATGAACTTAGATTATACAGCTTCATAATCTTTATTTCAAATGAGGAAAACACTGTTATGAATAACAATCCCTTTCACACCTAAAATTAGGTGCTTAATAAGTTAATTGTTTTGGAAGGGAGTCAGATTTTGAGTGCTTAAATCCCTCACATTAGTACAAAATAGTAATCAATCTAATAGTGTAGTATTCTTAAATGTCAAAATAATGATTCCCTTAACAGTGAACTGTTAACAGTTAGATACAGTCATTTTCCTCACTGCAGTAACTAAGAATTATACAGTGCAGGACAGAAAAAAGGCAAGGTATTGTGAAGTACAGACCGCCCTAGTCACTGAGGCTGAGAGTATGAGGAAATAAAAAAAATAATTGTTTATTGCACTATAAGGCAATCCTACTTCTGCTTTTAAAAATGTTTATTGCACAAGACTCCATTTTGTAAGGTGAGCTTATAAATACAGTCCTAGCTGCTTAAGTTGATATTTTGGTGCCTAGAGTGGTCAAGTAGTCATCTTTACTCCATCTCCTACAAGTATTGGGTCAGTTGAGAGCTGTCATACATCTATCTCCTTATACTTTTGATGCACAGGTGGAGTTTGAAAATGTAAATGAAGAGCAAAATGTGGTTTTGAGGAGGGATCCTCTGTGCAAATCTTCAGATTCCCCATTTTTTAAACACAGCTGAGAAGACCTAAACCAACTGTTCCAAGTGTTTTCACTTCCTACAGGAAAACCTTTAATGCTGAATTGCTGCTGCTTCAGTTATGGGCCAGGTGACCTACTGGACCTAGAGGCCATTTGGCCAGATGCTAAAATTGCAGGGCAGATAGTTAAATAATTACAAGGGATATGTAAATAAGAAGACGCTGGACTGCCAAACTCCATGACAAGTTTGTAAAACGTGAAGTAAAAAAGTACTTACATATTTTTGTTTTTAAAAACAACTGCCCCATTCTGACTGGCTGTTACCTTACTTCTTAGGAAATATGTGCTATGGAGTGACAAAGATCGTATGAGCTTTTTCTGTCTTGAGTCCTGAAAGTTCTCAACTGACGATCACAGAAAAATAGAATTTTAAATTTCTTTTTTCATTCCTTCCCCTCTTTGAGTTTCTGTTATGATGTGGTGTGGCATCTGAAAATCTGTGGGATTGGCAGCGTTTTGGAGTAGTGTAGATGACTGACAGATGACTTCATGTAGAAGAGGACTGAATATCAGTCTGAGGATAAGCAACTATTTAAAATGTTAATTCAGAAGCAGCTGCTGCTGCTTCATATTAAACCTCTTGCTGTATTTCCTGTAATTGTATTTACAAGAATCGGGATTTGCATGTAATGAAAGGTTTTGTTGCTTATTCCCACTGACAATATTTAATCATCGAGTGTTTACATAAAACCTTATTGTTATATTCTCCTATATCCCTTGGAATGCAATGCCTTGTTACAATGCAAATAGACATAACCCATGTTCTCAATTAGATTAAATGATAGTATATAATTTTTAGATCTACAGAATAGCGTTAAAAATTAATCTCAGCGTAGCAGAGTATGACACAGTATTAAAGAGGATAAGGAAGTGTTATCTTAACCAGATAGCATGACACAAACAGCGGAGAGGTTCAGGAAGTGTCTCAGGAAAGGATCTGGAAATGAGAAGCCAAGCTAAACTGTGCCCCTTATTTAGAGTTCACAGTCACATTTCAGCATGTCAAATCTCCCTTTCATCCAGTTCCTGAGGATTTTGGGAACTGTAGCCCAGAATGGCTGCTCTGAAGAATACCTGCTATTACGGGGAGTTTTCTGTCAGCAAAGATGAAGCTAACAAGGCAGACAAAAGTCATCTCTCCCAAGACGAAAGAAGTGTTTGGATCCCTCGAATCTTGATACAGACACTTTTTAAGACAAATTGGTGGTTTTAACATCAGAAGGAACTTCTTCCTTCTTCCCCTTCCTCCAGCTCCTTGAGAAGACTGGGCCTTATACTGAAAATGCTGTGGTATAAAACCCAAGAGGTAAGGGAAGAGTTCTGTTGTAAAACATTTCCAAGGGGCAACCTGCCTGTGAAATTAGTCCTGCCACTGACAGAATAAGTTACAGTGTCAGCTGAACAATGCCCCAGTGCACTCTGCTCTTGGTCATTTGGAGTCTTAATCTAGTTTCCAACAAAAGCAATTGTAATGTTGCACTACCACAATATAAAAGGACCTTTTACAAAACTATCCTTGCCAGCTGAGAGAAGGCATCAGATCTAACCTGGTTATATACTATATAATTATGTATATGCTTTGGTAGATCTGACACTTACTTTAGCTCTGAATTTGGCCCGAGAATCACAGCTGCTCATGACGTAGTATTAATACTACAGCTTGATCAGACTGAGTCAAATTCAAGGGCAACATTGAATAAAAGAGAAAGTTGGATGTTAAGTGAATCACTATGCAAGGTAGCATAACCTACCTGAAGAAGTTGTGAGTAAATTGTGCCAGTTGGGTGAAAGTAAGCAAAACCAGATAAAATGTAAACTCCAGAAGACAGAAAAGTAGCTACAATAGAATGAAAAAAAAGGAAGACTGTCTGATAACCTCTCTCTTATGCCTTACTTTTATGCTGCACATGGTGCTATCAATTTATGTTCACCTAGACCCACTAACCTTAATTAATACATCACCATCCCATAGATTCTGAATCTGGGCATTGAGATTACACAGAAAATAATATCTCTCATTTGCCAAGGAATACAGCAATCGAGACGAATACTAATGATCATATAAGGAAAACTCCATAGCTCTCACAAGCAAAAAGGTGCAGTATTATCACGGGTTTTGCACGTGTTTTCTGAAGAATGTCGTGTCAGGCTTGAAATACTTCAGATACTGTCATCATGGCATCCTGTGGGAAGAAATTATTCTATACTGTTTAGTAATGCTGTTCTGTAAACAACAAGAAGCAAGTTGTGAATACCACATTCATCGAGCTATATGATTTAAACCTTTTTTGAGTCTAGCTGGTTCCCAGAAGCAAGAGAAAATTCATTATTATCAAGTTAATATATGCTTAGATGAATTTATTCTATGGGTTGATACTATTTTACCTTCTCATTGCTTCTTTTTGATTTTGCAGGCAAGAAGAAAAGAAAAGAAAGTCCCAGTCTGGTGAAAGGCCTATGAAAGATGAACGCATTTTAAACCTGCAGAAAAAGATTGTAGAAAAAACAATGGAGCGTAAAAAGCAAGCAGGACTCTTAAAGATTACCCCGCAGAAAACCAGCATCGCATCAAGGAAGGTCTGGGAGTTACATAAGGAGGAAAGCTCTGCAGTAGACCTGCTGTTCACAGACCTTTGCTCAACTGCCAACACTGGCAGGGGGGGCAGAGGCAGATGGTGCCATACATGACTGGCAATAACAACTCCCTTCTTCCTGCATGGGCACGATTTCTCCAAACCGTGGCCTTGACCTCACCTTCTTGTCACACATTCTGCTGCCACGGAGCAGGGCTCATCCGTACGACACACTTCCCACTTTTATTACCACACACTCTCATCCCATTGAAACAGCATCTTACGCCCTGTCCCTATCTCAGCTTCCTATCACACACATCCCATTACACCAAACCGGGATGCTCACCGCCTCTCTCACCCAAGGCATGTTCCAGTTTATCAGGTTTTTACCTCGCCTTTCCTCAGCCCTGTCCCACAACATCGGATGGAAGCACCAATAGCCCTGTAGGCTTTATGCTAGTTCACACTGGTTGTGTTTCCTTGGCAAGTGTCTAAAGACAAGCGGTGAGGAACTGCTGCTCCTGCTGCTGCCGCCACCGCCTCTGCCATTGCCTCATGCATGCCTAGCATTTAGAAATGGTTCATGTACCAGTAATAGTACATGTACCACAGCATACGGAACACTGCAGTGAACAGTCATGATGGGATCACTTTTTAAAAGCTGTACTAGCCCAATGTAAAATTAGAACTAAATCTCCCAATCCGTTAAAATAATAACTCTTTTTGTGTTTTGTGAGAAAGTTAGATGAAGCTGAATTCAGTGAAGAGGAAAACTCTATTTTTCAAGTGTGTATAGTTTAAAAAACAAAATAGTGCAATCTTTCAGAGTATCCATGTTTGCTGCCTTCAGAAGCCCCATTTCAGACAAGCAAAACATGTAGGTGCTTATATAGACAACTAGGTCTATCCCTTTTAGCAAAGAAAACATTGAAGACCTATTTGAAGAAAGCATTTCCTAAATTGGGATGGCTTTCTGAACTGAGGTTTTGAACACGTGCTTAAATGCTTTGCTGAATGGAGTCCAGAGTAAAGTAGAAGCAATAAATGCAGACTTCAAAGGAAAGCAGCCATATAATTACAAATGTGAGACATTTTTTAAATAAACAAAGAGAAATTATAAATTCATAGCTAGAACTTTGACTACCTGATGCGGGTGTGTATGAGTGCTCTGGTGTCATCTGAATGAGCAAAAAAGCCAGGGTTTGAAAGTTGTTTTGATGTTACATTTTGTCTTTTTCTTGAGCTTAGCTTTACACTGTAAGTCTCTTAAGACGTCACAGCGCTTTTGTTTATGTTCTGCTCAAATGTTAAGACATCTGTAAAAAAAAAAAAAGAAAAAAAAAGGAAAAATTCAAGGTTATAAATATAAATTTATAATATAAATTATTTAGCTGTTTTGGTGTATCTTCCATCAGTGCTGTTCAGCTCTGCATGACCCTATCCAAATGTTAGTATAGGGAAGTGGCTCAATTCTGGTCAGATATGTTCAGCAGCATCGTTATTCTAGTTGAACTGCATATTGCTGAAAATGGTGTTAGTGTGACTATAGGAGAAAATTCCTCCCTTAGTTATAATGCAATAGGTATCTGGCAGTCAGTTTGTACTGCTACCTTTTAGGTTCCTCAATAAGTAGAAAAAAAAGTGACACTAACCCCTTGTATTAAAGTTCCAAGTCCGGATTGGGGTTTCAGTTACATTTGTGATGGCCCTTTAGGCCCAATGAGTTTGTGCTGATATAAGTCAAGGTAACGTTTGTTTATAAATGACTGTTACAGTCTTAATAAAAATTTATATTGCAATTTGGAAAACTAACCATAGGAAAAACTACCATTAATGAAAAAAATGTATTTTTCTACCATTTTAAGCAAAGAATCAGATGAAAAAGCAGCATTTTTCTGTTTGTTCTGAGCTTTTTTGGGAATGGTCCCTTGTGAACCCAGCTTTTGAATCAGCAAACCAGTAAAGTCTGATAGGATTTGTGCAACTGTTCATTTATGGCTTCAAGAATAAACAGTCGGCAAAGAAAGAACATAAGGTAGCAGCATTGGAGGAAACCATCCAGATGTAGTTTTATCTTGATTTAACATTTTGTGGAGTGTTGCAGCTGTGTTTAATTCATCTTAAACTGGGCAACCCACTCAAGTTACCTTTCTATTCATCATGCCCACTTTGATGTTGACAAGTTTCCCAGTCATGTTAGCAAATAAACTGGGTTGCCAGCCAGCCAGATTATCAAATAGAAGTTCAGTGTATACTCTAAAGAGAACCGCTATTGCCTCTGCAGTCTGATCATCCGTGTGTCTTTTCTGCAGGATTCTCTGCAATGGAACCATTGGAAAGAACTGGAAGAGAGTCGGGAACGACAGTTCAGGATCCTTCAACGTGGCTTCATGGCCAGAGAAACGGCTCAGAAAATGGCTGCCTATGAGGCAGCAAGAAGTAGAGCCACAGTCTGTATATTGCGCTCTGAAGTAAAATAAAATACATTTGGAGCAAATTCAGGCCTGCTGGAAATCTCCCAGTGTGCCTATTTACTACAAGGTTGAATTTTAATCTTTATTTCACCTTTACAGTGTGATTCGAAAAATTTGGGTCATACAGGCACAATAGAATAAAAATGTGTTGATTTTTTTGTAATAGAATTTTATTTTTAAGCTATAATGATACATTTTTTTTCTGTTAGAATCAAAATCTTTTAAGAAACTGAAACCTTACCATCAGAGCTCCTACAGCAGAATGGCAAATATCTGGGTAAGAGTGTTGAGATCTGTATTTCTGTTGTTGTATACTATGCCATGGTTTGCTATGCTCATCTTCCAAAAGAATAAAAATGAAGGCAAAACCCAAGCAACGTTTGTTTACATGTGCATCTTTTCAGAAGGCACGGTCAGCCCAAGTTCCTAACACGTCTTCTTACATGACGGCAACTGTGTGTAAGAGGATCACCAGTTTTAACACTGGTTTTGGAGGATGAGGGAAAAACTGTTTGGAAGGTTTAGATGATGTGATAGCTTCCAGGAGCCAGAGTCTAGATTCAGTGACCCAGACAGACCATCCCTTTATTCACAGATGTGAATCTCTTCAGTCTTTAAACAGCGGAAGGAGAACATAACATCGCTCGATCTCTTTAGGGAGCTGCTTCCAGAAAAAGTCAAAATTCTGTTACTCACCTAGAAGATGATTTGCCCTCTATGACAATTTCTATACTGTGTAAACCAGTCTTTAAATCACAAGACTTATTCTAGGCACAAAGCCAAGGAGGATATAAATCTGAATTAAAATCTGCACAGCAGTAAGACTATGTAATGTATTTCTATTTTAACTCGATGCCAGTTACTAAGTGTTTAATTATGGCTATTGCCATATTGCAAATATTTAAATTGAAGGAGACTGTCGCTGACATTAGAGTCAGACATCTGCTTTTAATGCTCTCACAACATTACATTTCTCACTTTTCACTGAAGGAAGCCTAATGGAATTCTTTTGTTGCCACCTAGCTGTGAAGATCACTTCCACAAGCTGCTAAAATGTGCTTTATTTTTCATTCAAAGTAAATGCTACAGTAGTCCACGAAAGTAATGTAGGACTTACGCTCAGTAGGAAGAGTTAAAGAACATAGGAGAGTGAAAAGAAGGAATGATAGCAGAACTACAGAGAAGAGGGAACTATGACACTATGTCTAGTAGGGGATTGTAATAGCTTAACATGACAAACCCTTGGTGGCAGGGAGTTTATCTTCGTTTGTGGTTGTTCAGCATTCTGTTGCATTGTATTCCAGAACAACAAAGCCAAGTGGTGACTGTCACACCTCGGTTTTCCAGAAGCTAGTAATTAACAGGGCTGACAGTCATGGTCTGGGATACTGCATAGCTGAATAGCTCTTCTTAAACTTTTTGATGTGTCTTGTCTTTTGAGAATTTAAAAAAAAACAAACAAACATCATTAAGCAAATAGATAGGCAGCTGTATTTAGGTAGGCAATACGGAAATTTCGAAAGCCCATCAAACTGCATGCTTCTTCCCCTGAGATGTTGGACCCAGTTTTCAAAACTCTTACTGAATTGCAATCAAGCTGATTCACAACTATTTCCTTCTCCATATTTTCCCTGCTCTCAAATGAAAGGACTGAGGAACAGAGGAATCTCAATAATCCAGCTGTGGAATTGTTACCTTCAGAAGTCACAAATAGCCCTATTGCTACTTTAGGATCTGATGCATAAAGTCATCTTCAGAATCAATGTTTTGAGGAACGTAAAAGAATGTGAGTCTTTCGGGAAAAATATCAATATATCAATATATTTTTATATCAATGTAGCCTATTGATTTTTCAGTGATGGCAGGTCTTGCAACAGAATACACAGAATAACAGTAAAAATACCACATTCCTCCTGCCAAACGTGGATAACTTGATGTTGGTGGCAGCAGATCCTATCCAGAACCACTCTGCCCCCGGCCACGAGAGCACCTTCTCTAGTATTCCTGTTCCAGCAATGTGGTACACAGAAACCTGAGGTGATCCAATGCAGAGCCAGCAAAGGTCTAGTAGGACTTGTTAGCGTTATATTACAAAAGCAGCTGTAATGCCATTGGAGCCAGGTGAGCTTTGAAGCAATACAGCTGCATTCACACTGCTGCTTCAGCTAGCGTCTGTGGCACAGATCGTCCACAACCTGGTTAATCCGTGCACAGATAATTGAGAGTCAGCAACACCTCTACAGTCATGGCGCTCCGCGGAAACACAGGTGCATGAATAGTTCATGATTCATTCATTTATATTTGCAGCCAAGAAGATGAAGGTAAGTGAACAAGGCTGACTCTTAAATCATCCAACAAAACAGACTTACAAAATCAGAGGTTTCACCTGTCTGATCTTAGTGTCATACTCGTCAAGAAACCCTTTTCAGTGCCAAAAGCTGCACATTCCAGAGGTCTCTTACTTCAGTGTAAATGGCCAGACCACAAATGCCTTCACATGCAACTACGGTGTAACGAGGCCCAGATTACCTGAGGAAGACCAAGGGTTTTCAGCCCTGCAATGGGCATCGGACACAGGCTGCTAACGCCTCGTGTAACACAGTCGTTACTGGGTGGCACTTCGCTCCCTCTTCCAAATCAGCCCCGGTAACGAGGCAAAGCCCACATTCAGTGACTGCCTGGCCAGGTAATCTGACCTGCCCTAGAGAGCACAGACATTTTCTTATTTAAATGAAACCAAAGACACAGAGACAGGTATGTTGGAATGGCAAGCAAAAAAAATAGGTGGTTCAAACCTTGAGCGCCGTTCACCTGGGGGAGAAGGCAACAAAAGTCACCCGGGAAAGCTACGAGTTTATCTACAAACAGCCAAGCGGCCGGGCACAGGGCAGTAAGGCCTAGGAAAGGCCAGATGATCCTTGCATTAAGGCAAAGCAATTGGGAAAAGCCCTTTTGGATGGTGAGGTGAGGGCATTGAACGCCTCTGCAAGTGTTTGTAGCGAGTTACATAGAGGATCTGCACTAATTATGCCAGAGACAACAGGTAACGATCTCCCAAGTTGATGGCTCTGATGAAATTTGCTCAGTGCGTTGGAAACATCTCCAGAAGACGGACATGGGGGGGGAGAGGGAAACCCCCAAAGCTCACACCCCACCCCCGGCCCCTGCCCCGGTACAACAACATTGCAGAACACAGCAAAAGCACAGTCCTGCCTCAGCCGTCCCTTTCAGGGTCCGTCAGAGCCGAACTGCCCCTGGGACCGAGGAACAGTTT